AGTTATGGGTTGCTGCACCTGAAGTTCTGAAAGAAATGTTAGAGGAAACCAGAAGTTATGTGTTGTGTTATAACAGTGACAAAAACCTAGAAGTTTTGTGTGTTGTGTTAAAACAGTGAGAAAAACCTAGAAGTTATGTGTGTTGTGTTAAAACAGTGAGAAAAAAACCTAGAAGTTATGTGTGTTGTGTTAAAACAGTAAGAAAGCCTAGAAGTTTTGCGTGTGTTAAAACAGTAAGAAAGCCTAGAAGTTCTGTGTGTGTTAAAACAGTAAGAAAGCCTAGAAGTTCTGTGTGTGTTAAAACAGTAAGAAAGCCTGGAAGTTTTGTGTGTTAAAACAGTAAGAAAGCCTAGAAGTTCTGTGTATGTTAAAACAGTAAGAAAACCTAGAAGTTATGTGTTACACTTCACCTCCTTCCTTATATTAGCCAGAGCATTTGCAACTTATTCAGTTCTTAACAACAACAAAACAGAAAAATAAAAGCACGACATAGTGGCTAAGATCATTGCCCCACTAGAAAATACGTTTTTTTTATCACAAATGGTCCTTCGTATGTAGGAGTCTATTTGCCTTTGGGATCAACTTGTGGCAATATGATACACTTGATTACCAAGTCACCAACCTGATATACATGACGCCTGACTTTCTTGTTGAAAGCCTTAATCATATGTTTTTGGTACATCTGACCATGGCAGACAGCTGTAAGCCTCTTCTCATCAATCAAGTTCAACTAGTCAAGTCGACTTTGAATCCATTCATCTTCATTCAACCCTGCATCCTTTATGATTCTCAGAGAAGGTATTTGGACTTCAATTGGTAGGACAACTTCCATGTCGTATACCAAAGAGAAAGGAGTTGCACTTGTTGATGTATGCACCGTGGTATGGTAACTGTGAAGAGAAAATGATAACATCTCATGACAGTCCTTGTAGGTCATTGTCATTTTGTGTATGATCTTCTTGATGTTTTTATTAGCGGCTTCCACAATGCCATTCATCTTCGGTCGGTAAGGAGAAGAGTTATGATACTGGATCTTGAATTGCGCGCATAGTGCATTGATCATAGTATTGTTGAGATTGGTACCATTATCTGTAATGATTCTCTATGGGATACGATACCGACAGATAAGATTCTGTTTGATGAAGCGGGCCACAACGTTCTTGGTAACAGAAGCGAATGAAGTTGCCTCGACCCACTTTGTGAAGTAATTAAAGGCAAACAAGATAAAGCAGTGTCCATTAGAAGCTGTAGGTTTGATTTCTCCAATAATGGCAATGCCCCACATTGCGAATGGCCAAGGAGCAGTCAGGATGTTTAGAGGAATCCGAGGCATATGTACCTTGTCAGCATAGATCTGACACTTGTGACAGGTTTGTGAATACCGATGACAGTCTGCTTCTATGGTGGACCAGTAGTATCCTACCCGAAGGATCTTTTTAGCCACCGTGTGCTCACTAGGATGGGTGCCAAAGGTGCCTTCATGTAGATCAGCCATGACCTTTTCTGCCTCACTCTTGTCTATGCACTGAAGCAAAGTAGAGTCCTGGTTGCGCTTATAGAGAACTCCATTACTAAGGAAGAACTTAGCAGAGAATCTTCTCAAAAATTTCTTGTCGTTGACTGAAGATCCCTCCGGATATTCTTGGCCCTCGAGATATCTATTAATTTCATGGAACCGAGGCTTGGCCACTACTTCATCAGTATCAATCTCGTGACAGTAGGCTGGTTTGTCCATCTGCTCAATGGTGACCTGAGGAGCTTCATTACCCCACCTGATTTTGAACATGGATGACATAGTGGCTAGCGCGCTCGCTAGTTGATTTTCCTCTCGTGGAAAATGCTCAAAGGTAATTTCCTCAAAATATGGGATTAATGTCAACACATGTTCTTTGTAGGGGATGAGATTAGGATGCTTTGTGTCCCATTCTCCTTTGATCTGACTGATGACTAAGGCTGAATCTCCAAATACACTTAGGGACTTGACTCCCAAATCTATGGCAGCTTTGAGATCCATAATACACGCTTTATATTCTGCCATATTATTGGTACAGTTGAAATATAATCTAGCAGTGAAGGGAGTATGGAAGCCTTCGGGGGATATGATCATAGCGCCTATGCCGTTGCCGAGTGCGTTGGAAGCTCAGTCAAAAACCAAGGTCTATCGGGATCCTTGTTCAGGTCTGTCATGTGGTTTGAGTTCTTCACAATTATTTACAACCATGATGTCTTCGTCTGGGAATTCAAAATTCATGGATTGATAGTCATCCACAGCCTGATGAGCAAGGTGATCGGCTAACACACTTCCCTTTATTGCTTTCTGGGTAATGTATTGAATTTCGTATTCAGTCAGGACCATCTTCCATCTTGCTATTCTTCTAGAGAGGGAAAGCTTCTCGAATATGTATTTAATTGGACCCATCTTGGATATCAATAAGATAGTGTGAGTCAGCATATATTGTCTTAGCCAGCGAGCAGCCCATGCCAGAGCGCAACAAGTTTTATCAAGCAATAAATATATGGTTTCACAGTCGGTAAACTTTTTGCTCAGGTAGTATATTGTATGCTCTTTTCAGCCAGACTCATCATGCTGCCCCAGCACACACCCCATTGAATTTTCCAAGACTGTTAGATACATGATCAGAGGTCTTCCCTCAACTAGCGGCATCAAAATGGGAGGCTCTTGAAGGTACTCTATGATCCTGTCGAAGGCAGCCTAGCAGTCGTCGTTCCATTCCATCATTTGATCTTTCTTCAGTAATTTGAAGATTGGTCCACAAGTAGCGGTTCGATGGGAAATGAACCTGGAGATATAGTTCATCCGTCCTAAGAATCCCCTGACTTCCTTCTCAGTGCGAGGAGCAGACATTTCTTGTATTGCTTTTACCTTTGCAGGGTCCACTTCGATACCTTTGCCGCTGACAACGAAGCCTAAGAGTTTATCGGACCTCACTCTAAAAGTGCATTTATTCAGGTTCAGCCTTAGTTTGTATTTCTCCAGTCTTTCAAATAGTTTCTGCAGATAAGAGGTTGGTGGAGGCCGATCCCATGTCTCCATTGTATTCGTACTAGTACTGGAAAGCCCTCACGAAGCCTCAAGCGCACATATGAGGTTGCGAGGGAGGAATGCGAAGATGATCCAAAACTTCTTTCTCAAAATAAGTCAATGAAAGATGTAGTCGTGGAAGGGAATGCAACACCCTTCGAATTCGTTGCACACCCTCTTGTCTGCGGTGATCATTTATATTGCCCGATCAGAGGGAGTCCCCACCTCGAAGGTGGTCGCCACCACCTCAGCTTCATGGTTATACAAGGAAAGTGTTCCTAGATATTTTGGATCCACCTAGGAGTAATCTTCTACGTTAGTCGCTGCCATTGGGTCTTTCGAATGATCAAATCCCATACCTACAAATGGAGGAGGGTGAGCAACAAAAGGTCCAAAGGCTAGAGTAAAAAAGTTGATATCCAAACCTACAAAAAGAGATAAGTAGAAAGTAGACGGAAGACGAAAAGAAACTTTGGAAATTAAACCCACCTTTTATAGAGAAATAAATCGAAAACCAACGGTCTAGATCAAAGATAAGGGAAATATCCAAGGGCAACAAGTCAACCGTCCCATTAGGTTGAACGATGAGTCAAAAATACTCGAGTACTCTAAGTAGGGGAATCATGCTCTGACCTGTACACCTAAGGTTACATGCTGGGAGCAAAGAGTGAAACGTTTCAATAGTTAAAAAACATTTAATGACTTGTTATGTAGTACCTTTTTCCATCTAACTCCAAACGTTTCACTTCTAGTTCGCATCAAACAATATCCTTGGAGGCCGACCGCAAGCGATAAAGGCTTCTCTAGCTCCCTCAGTGCCTGGAAAATCTTTGGGGATAATTGTTCTAGACCGGTCAAAGACCCAAAATGACTAAGGCCCAAGCCAACTCAAATCTATTCCATATTACCTAAGGTATAAAGTTAGATCACATGAAATATAATGTACACTTTCTGATATATACTCATCTCGAATCTTGAACCGATTTGGTGGTAGAATGAAAACCTTTAGGTCCACCGAACCATTCTACCAAAGATCAGGACCATCTATTCGAGATTCATATTCAATTGATCACATTTAATTATGCTTTTAGAACGAAACAAGTTTCAATAAGTATGTTGAAGAAAATTTATGAATTTTAAAAATAAGATATGAATTATAGAGAAATAGCTAGGGGAATGTAACTTTTTCTTAGAAAAATTGAAATTGAAATATATATATATATATATATATATATATATATATATATATATATATATATATATATATATATATATATATATATATATATATATATATATATATATATATATATATAATCTCTCATATATTTTAAATTTTTTTCATATTTGTTAGTTGGAAGAGTTGAGACTATCTCTATTAAATGAAGAAATCTATTATTAATACTTTTGATATATGATATATATATTTTTGAAATTTATGACATGTATTTTATATAATTTAATATTTATATAAAAAAATTTAGTAATTGTGTTTTCTATTTGTTTTGATGGAGAGGATCCCCGTTCTAGTTGGAGAAACCAAAATTAGTTTATTGATATTTGTTGGCCCATTTCCGACATTTCTGAAATGTCCAGTACAGCTGCAGCTGTACATGTAGTAAATTAGTACTACTAATTACTAATAGACACAAACAGTAGTAGCCTCGGATTCAAATTATTCCAAATGTAACGTGGCCTAGCACCAATGGCTCCACAACCTTATTCATCAGTTGCAAGAAAATAAAAACACCAGATCTATAATATTTTGTTGAGCCAACCCCATATCTAGTTGCTGATAGACACCTTTTTGTTTATTCAATAGAAAGTCATATAGTTTAATAGCAACCAATGATGGTTCCCACTCACCTTAGTTAGGTTTCATATACAAAGAGAAAAGAGAAAGCAACAACCCCACACCACAATACAAAAAAACTAATGAGTGTTTTGGGGTCCATGCATGGCTAACTCATTCACTCTTCTCAGAACCAAACCTCGTCTCTCTCCTTACCTCTTCACCGTCTTAGCTTTCATTCTCTTGGCCGCTGTCATCCTCAACACACATGATTTCCTCTTCATCTTCCATCCCAACGCCGACACACAGGCAGTACTCGCTGAGTTGACTCGGTCCAACGCTGTTCAAACGGAGGAAAGTGCGTGTGATGTTTTCAGTGGGAGATGGGTTCGAGACGAGTTGACTCGCCCATTGTATGAAGAATCGGAGTGTCCGTATATACAACCGCAGTTGACTTGTCAAGAGCATGGGCGGCCGGATAAAGAGTATAGGCGGTTACGGTGGCAGCCTGACGGTTGCGATGTTCCCAAGTAAGTAAAGGCTCTCTTCTTTCTATTTGCGGGTTTTATTTTACGGGTCAAGTTGTGGATGGGTAAGAGTTGGATCGTTTTTAAATATAAAAAGCCATTCATTCAATACACTTTCAATTCTTTTCAATTCAAACGTTTTTTTTTTTTAAATCATGAGAAAAATGGCATAATTAAAATTGAGTATTTAAGAGGGAGATCTTATAATCCAGTCTTTTCTAGTCTAATTTTTATTAAGTAGAATTTCTGACTTTTTTTGAAACTAACATATTTATTTATTTAGGTCTTAAAGATAATTTTTAATAATTATAAATTTAACCTAAATAAAATACCAAATCTTTTATAAGATATCTAATCTTAAGAATAAAATAGTTACTACCTCAATAAAATTCTATCATGATACCATTTTGTTTTACAATTAATTTTTAAATATTTTTCAGGAAAGTGTACTTCCTTTCGAGCAAAGTAATTATTTTTAGAAAGCACAAATGAACTTTTAGCCCGTTCCACGAATTCCTTTGCATTGATTCGATCATCGGCTCCATCTTCAAAGCCTTGTTATTAAATATATAATTATGTCTTGCTTTCCATATGTTTCAAATACAGGAGAACCACACTATGATAACTTTCTTAGAGGAAGTTCTCCTACTCCTAAATAATTCTACAAACTCCCACATATGTGCCATGCATTCATTTTGAAATACATTAGAGAAATGAACCAATTGATGACGCGGTACCAAAGACAAGCAAATATATGACACTCAAAAAACAGAAACTGATTCATTGGAACAATATCCCCTGACACATTGGCAAGATACCTGACTAAATACTCATTCTGTAATGAATTATAAATAAATTTGACTTTTTTGATACATTTGACAATTAATATATGTAGTTTATATATGGCCCTAGGCCTATATGCGTTAGCTGTAAACCTTACAATAAACCTTAAAAGCCTTTGACAGTCCTTATCACTAGGTGTTGTCACACATTGTACTTTTAGAAAGTACAATCGGAGCCCATCGTGAGGCATAGTAAAATGGAGCCGGGCCATCATTACAACATTGAGCTAGATTTGTATCTTCACGTCCAACCCCTCCATCCATCACGATTAACAGGAAGACAACAACTCCATCCAACGATGATTCTGAAGGCAAGGAGAGCATCATGGCAAAGATGTGCGCTGTCAGATTTCAGACTTTGGATGATAACATCCACTATAATCAACAACGCTAGCAGGAGCTTGACCCTACAAATGAAGTTGAAATACTAGACCCCCAACCTGTCTCAAAAGAAATATAGGAGGCTCTGGTGCTAGAGAAGTTCAAGCCTCTCATCGGCTAAGTTTGATGGGTATAGTGACCCATATGAGCACTTTGCCTCCACCAACACACAAATGGCAATTATTGAAGCTCCTGATTCCTTGAAGTGCAAGATCCTTTTTGACACCTTCAGAGATGCGATCTTTAGGTGGTATAAGAGCCTGCTTCGGCTCTCCATCACCAATTATTAGGATATGGTGTAGAAACTAGTTCACTAGTTCACATGAAGCAGGCACAGGAAGATGACCGCCACCAGTCTTTTCAACATTCGTCAAGGTCCCTCTGAATTTCTGAGGGAATATCTCATCCGTTTCAATGAAGTGACAATCAAGGTCGTTCATCCCAACTAAAAAATGTTCGTAGAAATATTTCAAAACGGGTTCAAGATGGGACATTTTAATGAATCCCTCACTCAAAGGCCATCGTTTTCCTTAGCAAAAAAAAAAAAGATCAGAGTTTTGAAAAAATGTACCTCTAATCGTGACGGCTCACAATAGTCTCGAAAGAGTCATTACACTTGGTCCATGAAAGACAACAACGTTCAAACTGACCGAAAAAACCTGCGGAGAACTTCACACCTCTTAAAGGATGGGAAAGACCAATATACCTTTACTGGATTAAAAATTATGTTCTAAAATTTTAGGGTTAACGTTTTTCCCCAAATTGGGAATAACGCTCAAGAAAACACCATAGCCTTGCTATTGCACCGCTACCAAACCATTATTCGCGGCCGCTATGACCACTCCCATCGATAGGTTTGCATGCCAATATCGTAGTAGTAAGGGGCCACACCCCCATTCTATGCCGCCATAGCGCACAAATAATTGCTGATCAAGATCTTCGTCTTTAATGAATGGAGAATGAAAAGAACGAGTCTTCGATCATCCATCCTTCCAAAGATGATCTTAGACATCTGGAGCATGTTCTTCATTCCAAAGGAGGAACCAAACACTAGAGTGATCTTGATCTTCTCGGTATCATCGGTACAAATAAGATCAGAAACGAGCATAATGGGGGCCATAGTTCAGGGGAGAGACAAAGCGTTGCGGAATTACGTTGAACGCTTCAACAATTAAATCCTAAATTTTTAAATGAATGAATTAAATCCATTCAATTAACTATAATTTTGTTTGTTGAGGGATTGGAGTTAGAATGAAATAGTGGATGTGTGATTAATAGATGTAATTGTCACCTCTAATTTTTATTTATTTTCTATGTGAAATTTTGATTGTCCTAATACACCTAATAGGTTTTCAGTAGACCAAATTAGAACCAACTACGTTTTTGGGGTCCTCCAATTGGGCATACAGTTCAAATGCACTCACATTGTATGCTCATCAACTAGAAGAGACATTGTATAGAAGTGTTCCAATGAGACAACACACAGAAGCCAATCTAGTGAATTGAGACTTGAAACCCCTAGTAATCATAGATTGATTGATATAAGCCAAATAATTATACACATTTCTTTACCAATGCTACAGATTCAATGCCAGTTTAATGCTAGATACACTTCGCGGGAAGAGGATGATGTTTGTTGGAGACTCACTCAACCGAGGTCAGTATGTCTCTTTTATATGCCTTCTCCATCAACTCATTCCCCAACATGCTAAATCTATGGAAACCTTTGATTCACTCACTGTCTTCACAGCCAAGGTACCTCTCACTTTTAGCTTATGTATATATTCTCAATAACCTCAATTATTATTAACTTTAAATGTAGTTTTGATTCATCTATTTTTAAAACGTCCATCCTTTTCTCTCTCTTTTTCTCTATTTGTTCATATTATCCTATTTAATTAGGAATACAATGCTACAATTGAGTTCTATTGGGCACCTTTTCTTCTTGAATCAAACTCCGATAACGCTGTCATCCATAGGGTAACTGATAGGATTGTCAGAAAAGGTTCAATCAATACGCACGGTCGTTTTTGGAAAGGCGCAGACATTTTGGTATTCAACACCTACCTTTGGTGGATAACTGGTTCCAACATGAAGATATTGTATGTTCCTCAACCCTATTCAAGCCATTATTTACTCACTGCTTGTGCAAATACACACTCCAGTCATAATTATAAGAAAGAATTTACTTTTTAAATTCATTGAACAATCGATATATCTGAACTATATATAGATCATATACATAAATTATTCAATGAATCTAAAATTAATTTTTATTTACAAATAGTGACTAGAGAGTATTATTGCATAATAAGTAACACTTAATGCATACTCAAATTTTCAGGCTTGGTTCTTTTAAGGATGAAGTAAAAGAGATTGTTGAGATGTCAACAGAGGACGCCTATCGAATGGCTATGAAAAGTATGCTTAGATGGATGAGAAGGAACATGGATCCCAACAAGACTAGAGTCTTCTTCACCAGCATGTCACCTTCTCATGGAAAGTGAGTATAGTATATATATAATTCACATGAATTTGGATTCCATGCAATCATCATTTGCATGCATTCACGTAGTCAGTATATTAGCGGTCAATAGATTGAGATTGTACAATTCAAACTTTAGGCTCGATATTTTAGTTTTTACCAAAAAACAATCTAATGTCTGATCTCGATCCAACCGTTATCAGTGTGTCGACTATGTGAATACCCAAATTCTTATTCACACACATACATCATCATGTAGTTAACTAAAGTGCTGTATTATTTTGGCAGGAGCATAGAATGGGGAGGGGAACCAGGAGGAAACTGCTACAATGAAACAACTCCAATTGAGGATCCCTCATACTGGGGATCTGATTCACTGAAAAGCATAATGCAAGTGATTGGAGAAGAGTTCAGAAAATCCAAAGTTCCTGTAACATTTCTCAACATTACTCAGCTTTCCAGCTACCGCAAAGATGCGCATACATCAATCTACAAAAAGCAATGGAATCCATTGAGTCAAGAGCAATTAGCCAACCCTTCTAGCTATGCTGATTGTTCACATTGGTGTTTACCTGGACTTCAAGATACTTGGAATGAGCTTCTCTTTGCCAAATTATTTGATCATTGAATTGAAAACAGCATCAAAATTAAAGAGATCATAGTTCTCTTGGGTGAAGGATTTTTACAAGATAACTATAATCATAGATACAAATTATAGTATGTTATTTATAGGATCATAATAGTTCTTTACAGAGGTTTTCAAGTTTTGAATTTATGAGAACATATTTCTCTCTTTACATTACAAGAGGATTGGCTGTAAAAATTTGAAAACACCCATCCAACCTTTCTTGCAATTCACAGAGGAGAAGTATTAAAAGGAAGGGAGGGATAAGAGATTGCGGTATGTTGAAATTAGTAACTGGTTTGGGTGAGTTGAGAATCGTGTTCAAATTTTGATGTATTTGGTGGATTGAAAGGAACATAGTTCCACTGTCTAAACAAAAAATAAAGGAACATAGCTTGATTGGTGAATCGTTTACTTTAGTGTTTTATTCATGTTGTTGTAAAATGTAGGCCATATTATACATTTTTGACAAAATACATTTTTTTAGTCTCTTAACTTTACCTCAGAGTTTATTATGGTCCCTTAAGTTTTAAAAAGACCGAATGAATCTTTTGACTCTTATAACAGGGCCATAGGGGTCTGTTCTATCAATTTTCCTCAAATGATGTTTATGTTTGTACTCGTGGTAGTTGAGTTGGCAAACGAGCTTCTTCTTATTCGTTAAATATGTTCATCTTTGTTCGTTTTATGCAATTTTCTTGGGAAATCGAATTAGGGCTTAAGGTTCCTTCCATTCCCATCTCAAATTGATTACAGAAATTGAAGGTTGTAGCTGCCATGAACTCTGGTTGTTCTTCACCCAAATTGAATCAGAAGAGTAGTGGGAGTTTTGATTCTAATGTATAGACATCTTTCAATCTGCGATGGAAATCTATTTATCATTGTGGAGACACAATCGTTCTTCGCAGGGCAACCATTGTTAAGAATTTTGAAAAATAATTTTGGGGTTGTCGATATTTTAAGGTAAGTATGTTTGTTAAAATTTATGTGAATAATTTCTGTTTGAACATCAAATCATGTCTGAACTTGAATTTCTGAAAAAATTTCAGGGCTCTATGCAAGCTGGATGTGATTTTTTCTATTGGTTCTATGAGGATGTGAGAGATGAGAAAGATCAATTTTTGAAGAAGTAAAAATGTAGGTTGGAGAAGTTAGGAAAATAAATTGGTTCAACAAAAATGAAGGTTGTAAAACTTAGGCAACTACTGTGGAACAAACGATAGAGTTAATGGAACTTCAAACTCAAATGAAGACGTTGAAATGATTTTTTTTTTAATATGATGTTTTTCATTGTTTTCTCTGTATTCGTATTTAGAATATTTTAAGAGTTTGTATTAGTTTGAATGAGATTGTATCATGTTGAATGAGTTTGTATCAGTTTAGTTTTGGCCTAATTGTACCACTCAGTTTGTACCAATTTGAATCAGTTTGGAATCACTTTGTTTGTATTAGTTTAGTTTTTGGCATAATTGTGTTATGGTTTATGGGACTGATTTATAGTAGTTTAGTTATAGCATTTAGTTTGCACCATTCAATTTAAATGTATTGAATGTATACCACTGATTTATAGCATTTTGAATGTATACCATTCAATCTACACTAATATATGACAAACATAAATTGTTGCAATTTACATTAAAGATTGATTCAATCTACACTAATATATGACAAACATAAATTGTTGCAATTTACATTAAAGATTGACATATTAAAAACACATGTTCAATATACATTATATCAGAGGCATTACACATTGACATGTTAAAAACACATGTTCAATAGACATTACAATCAAAACATACAACATTCAAAATAAAATTAAAACCATGCCAAGGTCTGTGACGGAATTAAAAATGACACTATGGCAAAAAAAGTTCATACAATCAAAACTCATGTTAAACCGACAAGTCACAGTCACACTAAATGATCTTCTATGGTGTGGTTCTCTTTGTTGGAGTAGTTCTCTATGTTGTTGGACCAACTACATTCTTGGATGTACCTAATCTTGTTGTAGGTCTTGGAGGTACGAATGATGTTGACGCTCTCCTAACACTTCGCTTCTTTACCCTTCCTTGAGTTTGCTTACTTCCTTGAGTTATTGGAGTAGCTTGCTAACTAGATTGAGCAGTTAGTTGTTGATTTGCATGAGTTGGATTACATCCTTGAGTTTTTGGAGTAGTTTATTGTCTAGATTGAGTTGACTGTTAACTAGCATGGGTAGCTTGACTGGCTAAAGCAGGATGTTGACTAGCTTGGGTAGCTTGACTGACTTGAGCAGGTTGTTGACTAGCTTGAGAAGGATTGAGTTCTCATCTTCTTCAAAAGCATATATGTCCCTTCAAATTCACAAAAAACTTGCATTTTGGATCATGTATGTGTCTCACTTCAAATATATGTTCAGCTGACATCGTATAACATGTTTTCGTGTATCAGTTTGAAATTGCGCAACATTGCACAATATTAATATCCAACATTTTAAAATGATACATATCCGATAAGCCATAAATTTGTGTAGTTGTTGGTTTTCTCAAATTTCCTTTTAATATTGGGTAAAACATCACCATCATCCAATTTTTAAAATCTCATTCTATTGGTTGTCCACCTTTCTATCATGTAGGTTATGATCTCTTCCAACATAGTTACCAAAAGCTTAGCTTTTGACTCCAGAATAACACTGTTAAAAGCTTCTAACATGTTGTTGAGAATAACATCACACTTGTTATGTGTATTAAAGTATGATCTACTCCAAAATCTTGGCGGTGTTTTCATCATGTGTTTAAATGCTTCTTCATTGACCTTTCTCATTCCCTTTATTTATCTTTCCCATGCTTGTGAATTGGTTGATTTTACAGTTTTGCATGTGAGTTCCTTCAACATTTTTCTAGAATACCTCTTTCTAAAATTGTTATACATGTATCTCACACAGAATCTTTGCTCAACAGTAGGCAAAAGCTCATCCACTACAGGTAATAGCTCCTGCCATACCACATACAAAAACACAATAAGAATGAGTATAACATAACACAAATGTGACATAACACAAAAATAATCATAACAAAATAGTAATGAGTATACCTTTTGTTGATCTGTAATGAAAGTGTATGTGAGACACTCATTTTTACCTCCAAGGTCATCAATCAAGAGATCTAAAGCCATGTCCATCTATCTCTATTTTTACCCGCCACAACTGCAAAAGCTATTGGAAGCATCTGGTCATTATGATCTCTTCCTATTGTTGTTAGAATTTTTCCTCAACAAAGACCCTTTAAAAAGCAACCATCAACACCTATGAAATGTATACATAACTAGAATCTCTCCTTACATATTTCATATCATATGTACAACCTTCTAAAATGGGGTATTTTATCATCAATACTCTCTTGAACAGGATCGACATTTAGTTTAACTGTTGATCGTAGGTTTGTTTTCAATATTTCATGACAATAATCATATATTCTAGTGTAATCCCCTAGAAAGAACCATCGAACTTGTCTCTAGCTGCAAATCTAGCCCTGATTGCTTTAGTCTTGTTGACCCTTACATTTCACTTTCTTTGTACCTTTTCCTTTATATCTTTAATCTTTATTCTATGATTTTTCTTTATGGAGTTTTAAATCATATTGCTCAACCATTTTATAGTCATCGTCTTCATATTTTACTCTTTGCTACAACAATGTTTATCATTTATCTTCCTTAGTTTCCAAGATTCTTCATTTGGCAACTTAGCACAATATACTTCCCACTCACAACCATCTTTACATCAAACCTTTATCCTTATTTTGTCACTTTTTATGAAGTTAAGGTTTCTACCAGATTGAATAGCATATGAAATTATTGCTTCCATAAAATCACCTCTAGTACTAAAATACACTCCTACCTCCCATTTGTAATTTGACAAGTACTTTTGAAACTTGAACATGTGGTACTTATTTTTTGTTTCTACACTACTACCATCACTCTCACATCCTTTCTCCAGCTTTTCATTGTCATTGTCACTCCCTTTAAAATCTTCCTTTTCTTCTTCCCACTTTTATTTCTATTTTTTGCTTGTTCCCTCTTCATCATGTTTATATGAAATTAGATTTTAAATTTTATTTTCCTCAAAATCAACATACTCATCAGAGTCATCCTCAAAAGCTACTTCTAAAGCACTATCATAATTGAAGTTGTAATCTTCAGTCATCAGAACTTACACCATCATGCACCTCACCACCCACAATTACATCATCATGTACCTCTATATGCACATCATCATAATTTTCCACACCAACATTAACATCACCATCCATTTGAACATCATCAGCTTCCTTCAAGCCAACTTCCCTCAACTCAGATTCCCTCAACTCAACTTCCCTTAACCCAACTTCCTTCATCTCAGCATCCCTACTAATTACTTCATCAAACATTTTATCAAGAAGTTCTTCCTCCTTATTTACAATGCAATCATTATCTACTTCAATATTATGAGCACGACCCTCATAATAATCAGGCTGAGACAAGGTGAGTTAAATATAAATATCAACACTTAGATGCACTCTATAAAGATCAACAATTTCTAAAGCACCTTTGTCATCAACCAAAGTATTCATCCTAAATGTAGGGTCGTTGTAACATGTTATCTCAAATTCCTTATAACCTAACTCCTTTAGTATATTTATCAACTAAAAAAACCTCCACTTATCTACATCTATTTTCAAATCATCTACTAGTCTTCCTTCATACACACTTAATCAATGAATTCACCACAATGATGAACTTTCAAGTGTAAATATTTGTCCATTTCGACCTATTCAAATCAATCTTGAAATTAATACATTTTGAGACATATTACAGACGCAAATTAACTTCAAAAAAGACAAAGTCCTAAAAACTAATACATTTTTAGACCCTAAACATTAAAATAGCTAATTCCATAGAATCCTCAAATCTATAACAAATAACATTTTCAAAAGCCAAAAGCCTTAAAACTACCACAAAATATCTAAAACAAAATCGTGAAAATA